CCTGTAATTTTCATCATAGGTACACGTCAACTATGACAGACAAAATGAGGAAAGAAAATCCAGAAAATCACATTGTAGGACTTTTTATGAATTTATTGGCAAATTATGGTGGAAAATAAGTATTTGGTCAATAACAAAAGTTTCTCAATACTTTGTTATATACCCTTTGTTGGCAATGACACAGGTCAAACGTTTTCTGTAAGTCTTCACAAGGTTTTCACACACTGTTGCTGGTATTTTGGCCCATTCCTCCATGCAGATCTCCTCTAGAGCAGTGATGTTTTGGGGCTGTCGCTGGGCAACACGGACTTTCAACTCCCTCCAAAGATTTTCTATGGGGTTGAGATCTGGAGACTGGCTAGGCCACTCCAGGATCTTGAAATGCTTCTTACGAAGCCACTCCTTCGTTGCCCGGGCGGTGTGTTTGGGATCATTGTCATGCTGAAAGACCCAGCCACGTTTCATGTTCAATGCCCTTGCTGATGGAAGGAGGTTTTCACTCAAAATCTCACGATACATGGCCCCATTCATTCTTTCCTTTACACGGATCAGTCGTCCTGGTCCCTTTGCAGAAAAACAGCCCCAAAGCATGATGTTTCCACCCCCATGCTTCACAGTAGGTATGGTGTTCTTTGGATGCAACTCAGCATTCTTTGTCCTCCAAACACGACGAGTTGAGTTTTTACCAAAAAGTTATATTTTGGTTTCATCTGACCATATGACATTCTCCCAATCCTCTTCTGGATCATCCAAATGCACTCTAGCAAACTTCAGACGGGCCTGGACATGTACTGGCTTAAGCAGGGGGACACGTCTTGCACTGCAGGATTTGAGTCCCTGGCGGCGTAGTGTGTTACTGATGGTAGGCTTTGTTACTTTGGTCCCAGCTCTCTGCAGGTCATTCACTAGGTCCCCCCGTGTGGTTCTGGGATTTTTGCTCACCGTTCTTGTGATCATTTTGACCCCACGGGGTGAGATCTTGCGTGGAGCCCCAGATCGAGGGAGATTATCAGTGGTCTTGTATGTCTTCCATTTCCTAATAATTGCTCCCACAGTTGATTTCTTCAAACCAAGCTGCTTACCTATTGCAGATTCAGTCTTCCCAGCCTGGTGCAGGTCTACAATTTTGTTTCTGGTGTCCTTTGACAGCTCTTTGGTCTTGGCCATAGTGGAGTTTGGAGTGTGACTGTTTGAGGTTGTGGACAGGTGTCTTTTATACTGATAACAAGTTCAAACAGGTGCCATTAATACAGGTAACGAGTGGAGGACAGAGGAGCCTCTTAAACAAGAAGTTACAGGTCTGTGAGAGCCAGAAATCTTGCTTGTTTGTAGGTGACCAAATACTTATTTTCCACCATAATTTGCAAATACATTAATTAAAAATCCTACAATGTGATTTTCTGGATTTTTTTTCCTCATTTTGTCTGTCATAGTTGACGTGTACCTATGATGAAAATTACAGGCCTCTCTCATCTTTTTAAGTGGGAGAACTTGCACAATTGGTGGCTGACTAAATATTTTTTCCCCCCACTGTATCTAACAGCATTTAAAGACAGTATTTTATCTCAGAGGTCAGTTACCTATAATGCAGGGACAAATCAAAGTGCAAGACGAAGGTAAAGGTCTCTTAGATCAGGGTATAGAGAACAGGAGAACTTACAGGCCTCATGTATAATGTACTGCTATGAGCATGGGTTGAAATCCCATTCACTGCTCTTTCAGCACACTCTGTTCTACGTTTCCGCTCTATCCAATAAACATGGAAGGATTGGGACTGCCCCACTCCTTTAAAAGAAGACAAAAATAACTTACAGGCCACCACAGCATTGGAGCGGTTCTTCTTAATGTTCCCGGCCCCCAGGCCTGTAGTGGAGGCGTTGGGCTCAGCCTGGTACGCACACAGAGCCTCCCACTCCTTCTCCAGACGATTTTTGTTTTTCAGGTGGTCCTCCATGTAAGACTAGGGAGGAAAGAGAATATATGGATTCAATATGGATTAAATAACTATAGTTGTACCCATCTTGTTTATCAGTTGGTGTGTATTCCTCCTCAATGTAAAACTAGGGAGGTAAGATAAGATTAATTTTTCATTTTGGCTTAATTTAAGTCAATAACGACCTGACCAAGAAGGAGTAATGAAAAGCAAGATGTGGATACAATAAGGAGACTTGAAAAATAGTATTCTTAATTCAGCAGGAGCAAAGATGAACCAGTAGCATTTTATTGTAGACATTATATGAATAATATTGCAAATGTTTTGTGGCATTTGATTCCTAGTGTCTTTATTAGAGGAGAAGTGAGCTCATAACCCATTTTATTACAAACTCATCTTTATTTATGGTCTCTACGTGGTCATAGTCATAGTCAGGAACAGGAATAGTTCCCTCTAAATGACAAGCCATTCAACCAAGACCATTACCTCCCCTATTGTATTCATAATTAAGTCAGGAGCACTGACATTGATTAACTGCCGCTAATGAGATTGTCAAAGCTAAATGTGAAACATAGAATGTTTTAGCACTGGGGCCATCAGGGTAGACTAGCTGTTGTTCCTCTCTGTTGGTAGAGGACATTTTGGCTGAGATGGTTGTTGGACATCATTGATGATACAGGGTTAATACACAAACAGGTATCTAACAATCACCAGGAATATCTCTTTAACACAAAATAAAATAGCTTCTTAAAAGGACTCATAGGCTACGTCCCAAATGGCACCCTATTCCCTATGTAGTACACTACTACCATACTACCCATAGGGATCTGGTCAAAACAAAAGTAGTGCACTATATAAGGAACAGGGTGCCATTTGAGACAGTCCTAATGTAATTATATTAATAACATAAGATTACAATGGGGAGGACATCATCTGGATTCATGGTAAGTACTCAGATAGACTTAATGGACTTTCTCCTAACAGGATATATGGGGTATTTGTTGAAATAGAATCTGTCCTGGGCAGATATCTTATCTGCGTCCCAAATAGTGCACCTTATAGTGTTAGGGAATAAGGTGCCATTTGGGACGCACTCTTGACTGGCTCCTCCTCACTATGATTGAAAAAGTGAAGCTCCTTAATAAAGCATACAGGGATGATCAGCACTAGGTTCACCACACACACACACACACATACACACACACACACACACACACACACACACACACACTCAAACACACAATTTAACAATGCTACTTTAATCCCTGCCCACGCTATCCCAGTACGTCCTGGCCTCCATATCATATCAATACTTATTACAGTATGTGCTGACACACTGAACACAGTCTGGGAAACAGGCTCAATATTTTAGCAGGGCATGAATCCATGACCCTTCCTTGATTTAGCCCCTTATCAAATAGCACCTTCATTCTGCACTGTTACCCTACCCGGATAACCTCACCCCCCTCCACCTCTACCCCTCCATCCCCTACCCCTCCACCAGCCCTCCCAGGGCATCAGAGAGCCACACTCTCCTCTGCGCTAATGCCAGAGTAATGGGGTTTTGTACTGTGTAAAGGGATTATTGCAATCCAATCAGGAGGTGCTGAGATCACCATGTGTCAGGCAAACACTGGCTAATCCCCTTACTGCTGGGTTTACAGCTGCCAAAAGGTGCTCAATAAAATCAGAATGAAATTACGCTCGATGAGGAGCTAGCGCTCAGCTCAGAGCTGTCGATGATGTCATGGCAGGGCTAGAGCCTCTTAATGAACTAGACTAGAGCACCTGGGTGAGAGAATGACATGTGCACATATGAGCTGTTTGGTTTTACACTGATTGGATGTGTCACAAATGGCACCCTATTGCCATCAAAAGGAGTGCACTATATAGGGAATAGGGTGCCATTTGGGACGTAGAATGGAGATGCCAGGAAAGGAAAGGGAACAACTGCAGCTTACACACTACAGTGAGGAAGCTGCAGCATCACATGAAGCTAAAAACACCGTTATAATAAGGCCAATTTTCTTTATACTGGAGTAAGCTCATATGGGTTGTGTCCCAAATAGCACCCTATTCCCTATATAGTGTACTACTTTTGAACAGGGCCCATCAAAAGGAGTGCATTATAAAGGGAATAGGATGCCATTTGGGACGCAACCATGGAATAGGGGGTATCATGGAAGATTAAGACCTTTTACTCCTGAACATATTGTGCTTTCCAACATAAATGCTCCCGATAGGCTTTTCCTCCAACACTGTCCTGTATTAAAGTGATTAAACAACATATTTCTTCATATTTGACAAGCACATTGTGCCTGCAAAATGGTGGTGTATATCAACACTCCAAATTACACCACACGCCCACACGGTAACATACTCAGCTATCTTCTAAATAACTTCCCACTCGGCAGCTTCGCAAACCCCTAATCTCTATAGACTCCACGCAGTATAATCTATAACAATTACTGGGCCAGCAACAAAAGACAAGATAATATGCTTTATATATGGAGTATGTTCATCCGCTTAAGACACAGCCAAGTCTCTGTATGAAGTCAGATTCTGAACAAGTCACATGGGACAAAGTAATACATTAACATAGATAAGATGGTGCAAGGCAATTCTCTAATTCAAATCAGTCGGGGATCATGATGGAGTGGGATTTGCAGAATTACAGAAGGCAATTACTTTGGGGGAATAAACCTAGTAAGCAATCATGTTTTTTTCTGAACCCCACAATATGAATCGCTCTACAATGTACTGTAGTGTAAGTGTGAACCTTGTACTGTTAGTACTGATGACATGTTTGTCTCTCTGCCCGGCCTGTGATAACTCAATATGAGCTCTCCTCAGATGTTTGTTCAGGCCTGACTCTGGTCATAGGAAACTACTCAGTACATTTACTGTGGCTAGATGAACAGTCACTTTTCAGAAAGAGCCTAGAACACAGGAAAAGAACAGAAGAGGGAAACATCAGCATTACTCAATCAAAAAGTTGGCATTATTTTACTGGCAGATGGATCACAGTAACAGTTGTTGTTATTGATGTTGTTGTTGCTGAGAAAAGAAGAGAGGAGAGAGAGGGGAGAGAAGAAAGGAAAGTTGAAGGAGAAGAGTGAGGAGAGATGAGAAGAGAGAGATGAGAAGAGAGAGGGGGTAGGAGAGAAGAGAGAGATCATAGGAAAGTGGGAGGAGGAGAGAGAGAAGAGAGGAGAAGGGGAGATTTATGGCAGAAGAAGAGAGAGGAGTAGGAGCGTGCCCCTGGACCTCCCCCTGTCTCATGCAGATTGTAATGAAGCAGGGCATTCAGGATGATGGGGGGGCGGGGGCACAGCCGGGGGTGGGAGGGCGGGAAGCGTGGCTCACGCTTCATGGGTAATTTCCTTTCACTTCCCTGGCCTGGCTTCTCTCCAATATATACCAACCAAACATAGCCCCAGTCTCATGAACACTGAACAGTCTCTCTCCAATGACGGCCTTGTGGCTTACTTCATTCTCATATTTCAACTGCTGCACGTGGGAGGAAGGGACAAACAATTTGGCCAATCTGTTGAAAATGGGCTCAGTTGAGTAGCAGCACACGTTACTATCTGCTGCCAGGGAGCTGTCCAAGGGACTGAAGCTCACAGAGCTTTCTCACGTTACACTGCTGCTCCACTCAGAGGGCTGACAGGTGTGTGTGTGTGTGCGCACGTGCGTGTCTGTGTGTCTCATATATTCCCGGTGTAAATCTCAGGGGCAATTAAGAGCTTCATGCCTATTGAAAACATCCCAGGGCCCTTCTATCACATATTGTGAGGAGCGTGTAATGCTTGTAGATAGAGCTATGTGAAGAACAGATATACACTGCAATTACAATGGTAGACAGAGTTATTCAGAATCAATGAACATTTGAATATGTGGGAAGAGAAGACATGTGGAAGAAGCCTGCTCATAGAAATGTGGGTGTAATGAGATGAATAGAAACAAAGAGAGAGCGAGAGAGAGAGAGAGAGAGAGACAGTGACACAGAGAGAGCGAGAGAGAGAGAGAGAGAGAGAGAGAGAGAGAGAGTGACAGAGAGAGAGAGCGAGAGAGAGAGAGACAGTGACAGAGAGAGAGAGCGAGAGAGAGACAGTGACAGAGAGAGAGCGAGAGAGAGAGAGAGAGAGAGAGATGGAATAAGAAAGACAGATGGAGAGAGGTAGAGAGAGAGAGACAGGCAGACAGTGATAGGGCGAGTCAGTAGTGGTACGGGTGTTTACCAGGATCATGTGTCCAGTGGAGATGTCCATGTTGGAGTGGACAGGTTCTTCAGACCAGGAGGAGGTGGAGCTTCGTGCCGAGGGGCTGACGATGGACCCCCCGTCGCTGAACTGGGACGACACACTGTTGATCCGCGACGACACACTGTGCATCGGCTCTGGACGCTCCGCCGGCGGCTTGACCGACATCCGCTGACGACACAGTTCCTAGGAGAGGAAGGAGGGACATGGGAAGTTACAAAGTTAACTCACGAATATGCTATTCCGTTCTTTTGAAATACATGTTATTTTATTTATTTGTTTTTGTATTTTACCCCCTTTTTCTCCCCAATTTCATGATATCCAATTGTGATCTTGTCTCATTGCTGCAACTCCCCAACGGGCTCGGGAGAGGCGAAGGTCAAGTCATGCGTCCTCCGAAACGTGACCCGCCAAAACGCCCTCCTTAACACCCACGCGCTTAACCCAGAAGCCAGCCGCACCAATGTGTCGGAGGAGCCCCCCCCCCCCCCCCCCGGCCAAACCCTCCCCTAACCCGGACGACGCTGGGCCAATTGTGCGCCACCCAATGGTACTCCCGGTCACGACCGGTTGTGACACAGCCTGGGATCGAACCCGGGTCTGTAGTGACGCCTCAAGCACTGCGATGCAGTGCCTTAAACCGCTGCGACACTCGAGAGGCCCAAAATTCATGTTTTTCATATGCTAATGTTTCTTAAGACCTGCCTTTACAAAACAATGGATTTTCTTTTGTTTTCTGATGGTATACATTAAATTGATTATTATTAGGCTGTTTAAATGGCATCATATAGGCTGTTCTAGTGTTACTGACCATCTCCAAGGAAACGGCAGCCGTCACTAACGTTATGTCACTGTTATACACTACCTCTGGGAGTGCACATTCACAACCAATGGGGCATTGACTGCTGTAATATAATATTTGATAATGCGCACATTAACATTTACAGTTTGCATACTATCAGCATCAGCGTACATGATGTTGGTGGCTTGGTGCACCTGAGAAATACAAAAGCCCTTCTGTAGCGTAATTGTAGTATTTTGTATTCCAGCATGGGTTCAACCTGCTATTTAAGTAATATTTAAATATTATTAGAGAAATATTTAAGGAATACTGAAATAGTTATAACATTTACTCCAAGACAATGAGTTCAAATTATAAGGATATCTATTGGGGAGCAGTGATCTAATGCAGCTGGTGATATAGCCTAGCTAATGTCAGAGGACGTCTAGCTACACATGCTCCATTCATTAGGAGAGCGATAATAATGATTAACACTGGCTGTGAGTGACAACACAAGCAATTTCATTACAGTTGATATCTTATCTCACTATTTATCCTTATTATCCCTGTGACATTGATCCATTGGCTGTCTGAGCCATAATCATGGCAATTAGGTCTGTCTTTGTTTTACCAGCATCCATTCCCTCAGTACCATTAACTGGAAAGAGTATATGGTGTGCTTACACTCTGCTTCAGTTTAAGCACACAAAATATCTGCAATGTTATAGAAAAATACAGGAATCCAGCTAGTCATATTTCCAATCTATTAACATGCTATAAGGCTAGTAGCTTATAACCACTAAATTCTACAAAATCTGTCTGTCTGTCTGTCTGTCTGTCAACATGCCTGTCAGTCAGTCAGTCAGTCAGTCAGTCAGTCAGTCAGTCAGTCAGTCAGTCAGTCAGTCAGTCAGTCAGTCAGTCAGTCAGTCAGTCAGTCTGTCTGTCTGTCTGTCTGTCTGTCTGTCTATCTTTCCCAGCAGCCACCATGGAGGGCCTGCCTCCCCTCTCCCCCATCCCCCTGCTACAGCCCCATTCCAGACAGTCCCACCATTACTGTAGGCTCTAACATTCACATTAAAACAACTCTACATGGTGAACTTTGAGGTTACCGCAATCAGTCCTAATAAAAAAGGTCCCATATGAAAATGCCCTCCCCTGAGATATTCAATTAGCTGCCCGCAAAAAGCCCAAATGAAACAGACGAGGAGGAAAAAGGAAAAACGTTCCACCAAGGTCGGGTTTAAATTAAATAAGACCTATTTACAGCTTTAGTATGGCACTGCCCAGGCCAAGGAGAAATGAACACGGCTGCGTCCCAAATAGCATCATATTCCCTATATAGTGTATTACGTTTTTTTTCATAGCCTGGTCAAAAGTAGTGCACTATATAGGGAATAGGGTGCCATTTGGGATGCTACCCTGGTGTCAGTCTGTTTATACTGTATATGGTTGATCTCCATGTTATATTGCAGGATATGGAGAAATTCTGAAAACAAAAACCCTGCATTGATAGATAAATCTGTTCTCCGATGTGTGAGCCTGAGACAGACGTTGGAACAGTTGTCAGATGTTGCATTATTCATTCCTTCAATTGATGTTTGAAAACAAGCTATGGATGTGTTATCTTATATTTCTCACACGAAAATCTGGAATTGAACACATATTTTATGTTAAAGCTTACCTTGTAAGAATTAAGAAAAAAATGGATTAGATAATGGAAATGTATTCCAATGCGTTTGGTTCAGATGATACGGAAAGCACTAGCTATCTCACAAAAGAAAGTCTGGCCTGACATAAATAATAACATTATCTTCTATTTCATTTTATTTCAAAAACACAGACAGAAAGACACAAGAGGCCTATGAGTCAATTGTCTCTCTCATGGTCTATGTTCCAAATGGCACCCTATTCCCATAGGGCTCTGGTCAAAAGCAGTGCACTAAATAGGGAATGGGGTACCATTTGGGAAGCAACCATATACCACCCTGGGCAGTGGGAGTGTCTGTGAAGACTGGCCAGTGTGGGCGAGCTTCTGATCTTGGTTAACCCAGAACTAAATGCTTGTGTAATTGGTCAGAAGCTCGATTAAGTTCTGGGTCCATACGTGTTAAGAGAAGAGATAGAACGAGGAACGGAACCGGAATGAAGAGCTCCACCCTCTCTCTTTGCAAGTTACAGGCAAGTCTTTGGGCCAAATGTCCCCTCCCATACTGAAGTTTGAAAGATGCTAACATCTGTGAAATCGTGATTTGTCTAAATAACCAGTGATGAAAATCCCAAGCCCCGGAACTAATGCTGCTCGTGATCTCACGCATCCCTTTGTATCATGACAGATCTACATTACCATTTATGTTTACGTAGTCTGTCACTGAGAGATTAGCGAGCCTCCAACACCAGTCTATGGTTCCATCTCAAATGGCACCCCATTCCCTATATAGTGTACTACACTGTAAAAAGTTGGATGGCACTGTTGTTCAATTGAAGTGCTTTTACTGATTGGCTTGATCAAAAATTACACTTTGGTTCATTCAACCTATTCTATAAAAAAATAAAAAAATAATTTGACCAATCAATTTTTTCAATTGAATAAAAGCTTCTTAATTGCTTTCAATGCCTCATTAGCATTGCATAGACGGGTGGGTTGTTTAGCAACAAAACCGATGCGTGCACAACTTTGGGTGCAAAACAGACAGGGTTGTAAACTATATTTAGTCACCAAATGTTTATTGAAAACATTTTAAAAATTGCACAATACATCAATACAGTTGTTGATTAGCTAGCTTTGTGAATTTTATATATTAGCATAGCCGTGACATCAGTCAAAACACCTCAAAACAAGACATGGTATCAAGAACAAGACACAACTAACTGAAACAAACCACCTACGATTCCCCACATGGCCTTCTGCCTCTGCAATGCGCACACATAATTTTTGTGACATTGTCAGGCAACCCGTCTATAGCGGTGTGGGAAATGTAGCGGTGGCAGCCTATTAAAATATTTGGAGGCGTGGCTTAATGGGGCCGTGGCTTTTCGTTTGTGCTTTTTTGACACCCGTGAAAGTAAATGTCATTCCAGTTAATGTGTTCTGTTGTATTAATTTTACAAGGTTAAGCTTGTATACTGACAGTTATGGTTCTTGCATGCGTGCATGTGATACGAAAGAGCCTGTTAGATCTCCAATATTGGGGCCAATATATCTAAAGGTGTTATGTAAAGATTGTGCTTGGAGTCATTCTTTCATGACTTTTAACCAACTTAATTTCTTGATTTACAGGGAATTGGTTTAATTGCTTTAGAAATGTGTGAATTCGAAAGTGAAAAATCTACTTGGAACAAGATTAAACAATAGGTTTTATTTACATGAAATATTAGTTTGTATTTATGTTATTTATTAGGTTAAACCAATAAACAGTTGCCATTGAATCATATATTTGGTTTCAACAAATGTCTTTTTTTTTATTTATTGAAACCCAACTCTCCCTAACTTATTTACTTGTAACAACTTGAAGTTTTAAAAAAAATAGTTGATCCAATAGCCTTTTTTTAAAGTGTACTATGCGAAGGGCTCTGGCCAAAAGTAGTGCATTATATAGGGAATAGGGTACCATTTGGGACGCAGACAATTTATAATAGAGTGCTAATAGGGAGGGTGGCAAGGCTACAACAGCACAGGGTGCCTGTGTTTGCATGCCCTCCAACAAATGTAGGGGCCTTTCTCACCGCTTTGCCCATGTTCTAAAACAACCAAAGGCCCTCTGACTCAATATGGTGGATAGAGAGAGAGAGAGAGAGAGAGAGAGAGAGAGAGAGAGAGAGTAGGAGAGAGAGTGGGAGAGAGAGAGAGGGGGGGGGAGAGAGAGGAAACAGATTGAGCGAGTGAGAGAGAGAGAGAAAGAGAGGGAGAGAGAGAGAAAGAGAGAGAGGAAACAGATTGAGCGAGTGTGCTAAAACAACCAAAGGCCCTCTGACTCAATATGGTGGATAGAGAGAGAGAGAGAGAAAGAGAGAGAAAGAGAGAGAGAGAGAGAGAGAGAGAGAGAGAGAGAGAGAGAGAGAGAGAGAGAGAGAGAGAGAGAGAGAGAGAGAGAGAGAGAGAGAGAGAGAAGAGAGAGAGAGAGGAAACAGATTGACATGCAGTGAAGAAGAGAGAAGAGAGAGAGAGAGAAGAGAGAGAGATAGAGGAGAGAGAGCGATAGAGAGAGATAAGAGCGGAGAGATAGAGATAGAGAGAGAGAGAGATAACTGAGATAGAGAGAGAGTTAACAAGATTGAGCGAGCGAGTGATAGAGATAGAGATATAGAGAGAGAATAGATATAGTATATATATGAGAAGATAGAGAGAGATAAGAGAGAATATAGATAGAGAGAGAGCTGTCCTGGGGCTGAGTTCACAAACCTGTTTCTACTAACACACTGAAGCCTCAGGACCTTGAACATCCAATCAGTCAGAATAACCAAATTACAACACAGTCAAAACAAAACTACATTGCTTATTGGGAAACACAAGCACAAGCACAAAGTAAAATGCAGTGCTATCTGGCCCTAAATCGACAGTACACCGTGGCAAACTATTTGACCATGGTTGCTGAACAAAACCTTAGAAAAACATTGACAAAGTACAGACTCAGTGAGCACAGCCTTGCCATTGAGAAGGGTAGACACAGGAAAACCTGGCTTCCTGTAGAGGAAAGGCTGTGCAACCACTGCACCACAGCAGAACCTGAGACAGAGCTGCATTTCCTGATAAAATGTAAAAAAAATATAAACCAATTAGAGAGTGTAATTTCCCCAAATTTGAAACCATTTTTCAAGGTTTCAAAGACCTCTCTGATGAGAATAGGCTACCCGTCCTGTTGGGGGAGGATGCAGAGAGCTGTGGGTTGGCAGCGCACTACATTGCTGCCTGCCAGAAGATGAGGGACAGTGTCTGACAGACCAACCAACCAGCACATGTCCTCTTGTTATTGTTCAATGGTTATTTTGACCCATGGTCATTGTTGTTACTGCTGTCCCGTTGACAATATTGATTATTATTACATATTTTTAATTATGTTAATATTGTAAATATCCAAAGTAAGCTTTGGCAATATGTACATTGTTACATCATGCCAATAAAGCGAATTGAACTGAATTGAATTGAGAAAGAGAGAAAGAGAGAAAGAGAGGGAGGGAGGGAGGGAGATAGAGAGACAGGGGTTGGCATAGAGTGGAGACAGAGAGATAGTGGTAAAGGAAGATAGAGATGGAGAGAGAGAGGGGGGCGAGAGAGCGCAAGAGAAAGAAGCGAGAGAGAGAGAGAGAGAGAGAGAGAGAGAGAGAGAGAGAGAGAGGGGGGGGGCAGTTTTTGGCATAGAGGGAAGACACAGAGAGCGAGAGGAAGAGAGATAGAAAGACAGGGGGGGCAAATGTTGGCAGAGAGAAGGAGAGAGGGAAAACTTAGAGTGAGAGGAGGCAGAGAGAGAGAGAGAGAGAGAGAGAGAGAGAGAGAGAGAGAGAGAGAGAGAGAGAGAGAGAGAGAGAGAGAGAGAGAGAGAGAGAGAGAGAGAGAGAGAGAGAGAGAGAGAGATAAGAGAGAAAGATAAGAGAAAGAGAAAGAGAGAGAGAGAGAGAGAGAGAGAGAGAGAGAGAGAGAGAGAGAGATGTGGAAGGCCAGGGAGACTGTTCAGCAGTATGGCAGGCAGTTCCCATGTCTCTCTTGGAAATCCAGGGGACTGGAGACTGACTGACAGAGAGATATCATCCATAGATACGGCAGGCAGCCTGTCAATCAAGCTTTTCTCTCCCAGTGTCAACCAGTTCAACATCATATTTTCATATCACAGGACAATATGGCTGACAACTTGGAGACACTGAGACCTAAGGCATAGAGATGTCTGTGATATACAGAAAGCTGGTAGGACACTGTGGGGGTACGTTATGTGTGAGCTGTGTGTGTTTGTGTGTGAGCTGTGTGTGTTTGTGTGTGTGTGTGTGTGTGTGTGTGTGTGTGTGTGTGTGTGTGTGTGTGTGTGTGTGTGTGTGTGTGTGTGTGTGTGTGTGTGTGTGTGTGTGTGTGTGTGTGTGACCATGGCCTCAGAGGCTCAGACAGACACACCCAGGGCCTGGGTCATTAGCATGCAGTGAGGCTGTGAGAATGTGAGTGTGACTCAGTGATGTGTGTGTATTACGGCCGTCAGACTGCCCGCTGCTACCCGTCTGCTTTAATTGCATGTAGCTTTAAAGAGTCACTGCTCCCTTGTGCTGGGCCAGCGCACACACACTCACCCACACACACAAACACACACACAAACACACACACACACACACACAGGCGTGCATTCAGTTCAGTCAAGGGAATCCTTCTATATATCCTTAAGATGGATGCTACACAACATCTACAAGAGTATAGCATAGCAGCAAAGGGAGAATGAAAAATCATTGTATTGTAATTTCAGGTGCAGTTTGTTAGTGAAATTACTTAATATCAAAATATGCAATATTTGCATTGGTTTTAGTTGCATGGCCAAGGTGGTAAATGCCTTAGGAAAAGCCACTGACTCTTAATCAAAGTGTGTAAAGGCCCAGTAAACATCCGTTAAGCGGAAATGTGCAGGAGCCCAGCAGTAAGTGGATCATGAAAAATATTTAAGACTAATAAAACCATCCAGCCACCCTGTTGGTCAATATGAAATACATCCCAAAAATGTCACAGTCAAATAAAATATATTTGAAAGTAGAATGAAACATTAAAGTCGAATACCCTACGCTAGTATTATTTGGATGTAGCTCAGTTGGTAGAGCATGGCGTTTGCAACGCCAGGGTTGTGGGTTCGTTTCCCACGGGGGGCCAGTATGAAAATGTATGCACTCACTAACTGTAAGTTGCTCTGGATAAGAGCGTCTGCTAAATGACTAAAATGTAAAATGTAAATACAAATTAGAATGACTTGAGGACAGCACCTAAAGTACTGTAAAATGTAAGTACCATTTTAAAATCAATGCTCGCAGGACCACTCTCATTTAAAAAGATCAGGGAGAATGGTCAGTGGCAGAAATTGTAATCTAATTCTTTGCTTAAAAAGGCTTAATATTGGATTCTATAAATCGAATTTCACACCTGGACTTTCAGGCCGTAGGATAATTACACCTGTTAGAGAGGGGGAATTGAAATTACTACCAGCACAGACAGACAACGCCACCCGCAAACCTGTTGGGTTCATATCATTTTCCATTTTCCAAATTCCGAAACACTCAAAAAGGAATGGAAGAAACACATACTACTCTACAAATGAAAATGGTGGCACCTTAATTGGGGAGGATGGGCTATTGGTAATGGCTGGAGCAGAATAGGTGCAATGGTATCAAATACATCAAACACATGGTTTCCATGTGTTTGATGCCATTCCATTCGCTCCATTCCAGCCATTAGTCCCCTGTAGCTCAGTTGGTAGAGCATGGCGCTTGCAACGGCAGGGTTGTGGGTTCGTTTCCCACGGGGGGCCAGTATGAAAATGTATGCACTCACTAACTGTAAGTTGCTCTGGATAAGAGCGTCTGCTAAATGACTAAAATGTCATTAATATGAGCCGTCCTCCCCTCACCAGCCTCCTGTGAAGTGTACACAACATACACTCAAAACAATCTAACATACACTTGGATTTTCAGTTTTCATTACAAAAAAAATAATCATGAAGTCATCTGTATTTTTTGGAGTGCGTCCCAAATGATCCCCTATTCCCTATATAGTGCACTACCTTTGACCAGGGCCATAGGGATAGGGTACCATTTATAGACTGACTGACGTCTGATATATATGCTCCTACTTGATAGGTGGACGTAGCATCGCTGCCTGTGTCTGTTCCCAGGTTGGTGAGCTTCTCTTTGAGCTTGTGGTGAGAGCGGTGTCGGAGGCAGTAGACCACGGTGGAGGCCAGGAGCACAGCCACGATACACAGGATAGACACCACTGTCAGGATCAGGAACTTGGTGGACTCGGCTGTGCTGTACTTGGTGGGAATCTGGTTGATCTGGCTTCTCTGTAGGAGAGAGGGGAGGGAAAGAGAGAGAGCGAGAGAGAGAGGAAGAGAGTGAGGGGGAGGGAGAGAGGGAGAGAGGGAGGGGAGGGAGAGAGAAGAGAGAGAAAGAGAGAGAGAGGGAGGGATGAGTGAGAAAGAGAGAGGGTGTGGGGGAGAAAGAGGGAGAGCGAGGGAGAGCGAGGTTTACACATGATATCATGGTGAGATTATGTTTTCAGACCACACATTTTCCTGATGCATTAGATACAATGAGCCAGTGATCTATAATTTTTAATGTTTTGGTTGGACATATTAAAGTATACATATAGATGTTGCAGATAAAAATCTGATGTTTTTTGTTCCATCATCTGTGTGCAATAGTGCACGGAATACATCAACTCCCCAAAATGTAGATTATTAAGGAATATATTGAATAAAATAACATATATTTTGAATTCATTAACCCAACCACTGTTAGCTTCACCTGACACAATAGTTTTCCCGCTGTATTTTCCTATGACATCATTACAAACAGTAGGACATGTGACTAGTAGTCAATGACTTGTCGAGTACCTACAACCTGTCAAGCATTTAATCCACTGCCAAGAAAAATGTATCTAAAAGCAAACATTCGGATTCATTTAGCCTACTTAATTTTACAAAGTACATTGCTAGCAAGAAATCCCACTATATACACAGAGTGCTAAATTAAAACACAATTTAACCTATACCCAAGTAGGCTACATAGGAAAAAACACTACATGTACTAAAACATATTAAAGCAGGGAAATTCATTATGTTGTTCATTAAAAGCAGACTGTCTTACTGCTACATGGAGTTAATTTCAGAGGCCAGTGATCTGGGATAATGGTCGTGTTCCATTCTACCTGGGATGTATCCAAAATGGCACCCTGTTCCCTTTAGTGTACTACTTTTGACCAGGGCCCATAGGGAATAGGGTGCCATTTGGGACACAGCCCCGGCCACAGTGAATCAACAATAGCCTGATAATTCTCTCTCATTAGAGACAGCATAAATGATGTTAGCAACAATGTGGAGCAGGGGGGAAGAGTGAAGAGACGAGAGCTGCAAATTGCAATCCCAACTACCAGATCTACAATTCCCCCTTTTTTACAGGATGATAAAAAATAAATAGTGAAAAAGGCTTGGCTGCTTGGCTTAACTCTCTGCTGCTTGCTTCAGGACAGGAATAATTAGCCAACGGTTTTTTCTTCTTCTTTTTTACATCCTCTTTGTAGTGTTACAAAAAAATGCTTTTCCAACCCCCCTCTCTCACACCATTATGAATGCCTGACTAAGCTATTCATGATCTTGTTCTAATAGTAATTTTATGCTATGTATTCAGCTTGCCACATTCTATGTTCTACCCTGTCTTACATTGCAGAAATGCAAGGCCCTCATTTAAAGTTAAGGCTCATTTTATCTCTGCATCATAAAGACCCAGCAAGCAAATATTGGTGGGATGTGGGTCAATCAGTTGCAGGCCAGGGGTCGTAGGGATTAGGGCCAGACCAGTCTGCATCCCAGTTAATGGAAATGTGTGTTAAAAAAAAGGCTGTGATGGCATCCCAAATGGCACCCTATTCCCTATGAGCACTACTTTTGACCAGGGCTTTGGTCAAAGTAGTGCACTATATAGGGAATAGGGTGTGATTTGGGACACATTTGTGAGATGGGCCCTGCTTGGGCCTGCCTGCCTGTCACAGACATGTAAGCCCCTAGGAGGTGGAAGGGAAGGGGTGGCCAATGAACGCTGCACAAGGATTGTTCTGGAATGCCTTGTGTTGTGAGGCTGTGAGACAGGGTACCCCACCACTACAGTGAGTGGTATAGATCTATTCCCCCTGATTTCATTCATAGCTGGCTGTATTCAGCACCTTAAAAGAACGGATGCAGAAAGGCCCACAAAGGGAGACAACAGTTGCCCAATGCTTTGTGGGGTCCAATTTGCATTAAGCCCTACTGTAAAGCCTGGTTGCATGGTAATGTGATGGTGTTAAAAGGAAACAGTGGGAAACTCTCCTCTCTCTGAGTCTCACTGAGGCCCTCAGTGCAATGATGAAAAATTGCATTTCTCAGTCTAGGAGATAGAATCCCAAAAATATTATATTATTTTCTAAAGATTCTATTCTAAAAGATTCTTAACATTCTGTTTCTAATTACCTTCTCTCAGTCTCAGGGAGAGAAAAAAAGAATGTAACGTTCTGATGAATCTTACAGAAATCTTACAAAATAATCTGAGCAGAATGTTTATTGTAGACACTCATTAATAATACATTTTAACTGCATGACACACTTGCTTTGACTCCAATAATCTTCTGCTAAATATATTTTTCCACAGATCCCCCCAAAAAGTATATATATATATATATATATATTTTTTTTTTTTCATTTCATTATTTTATCAAATTAAATTTCATAGAGAAAGATCGATGGCATCTTGCTTGGATAGTAATGGCCATACTTAGTTTCCAAACTGTAACTGTTCACTCATCCCTCACTGGACAGATGCTTCTGCCACTCTCTCTATTTATTCAATCCAATGTAGCCTGACTTGCCGTTAAATCACGTCCATGAAAAATGAGGAGCTAAGACTCTGATTGTGGTGCAGAACCACAGAACCAGATGCTGTGGCATAGGAAAAAGATTATACAATTGAAAAGCAAAAAGCTTGCTGAGGGAGAATGTTCGAAAGTAAACATGTGTATACAGTGTGTGTGATTATTATCTGAAGGCCTACATTTTGTTATGCATTTACAAATAAAATCGCACCAAGAGAATGCTTTACCTTTTCTTTGGTACAGTATAAAGGAAGCATAAAATAGATATTACCAGGCAGGCCAGACAGACAGACAGACAGGCAGAATCTTCTCTTCAATAATGCAGCTCCAGGGCCTTGTTTTCCTCCTCTCTCTCCAAAGGCTTAGCACTTTCAATCAAATTACATGGCAACATCTTGACGCACAGAGGGCTGTGTACGACTAAATCCCATTATATATGGAAAGAAATGCAAAAAAATTTGCATTTCTTAATTATGTTTGGTGATACAAAAATAGATTCAAAAATACATAAAAATATGCGCCAATAGAAATCATTATAAAATTATTTTTCTGAAATAGACACATTTCCTTGAAAACAAATGTGATTGGTATGAAGACAATTTGTAGTCTGATATCTAATGTTTTACATAATATAAATCACTTAGGATACTGTTGGGTTTTTAACTTACACTTGCCTAGCTCAATTTTAGGCAGAAAATATTTTGTTTCAACACTATTTAATGCAATGCAAAAAAAATGATTAAGCTGAAAATATTGTCTGAGATAGCAAAGGGGAAGGGAGTTCCTTTTATGCCGAGAGGTCTATTTTCCATCTGTCCTGAAGCGATTGTACTTTCAAATTTCAATTTCACATAGGCAAACGTGATCTGACATACACAGCTCCTCCTCAGCATGCATTGGAGAAAAGCATTAGCATAGCCGTCAAGGATGGTTGCTGCACACTGTGGGTTCAAGCTTTTCATTTCAACACATATCAGATGTAGGTGAGTCTTCCCAAAATAACACTGATTCTCCTGAGAGAAAGAATAGTTTATAGGCTGCAATAATCTCAAGAAAGAGAGAGAAATGATCCTTAATGATCTGAGGGGTGTTGAAATTAAAAACCACGCAGAATGTATGCAGATACATTTGTTCAAATTGATGTATTATTGCTGTAAAATTGTCAGCATATAAAAGACTAGTGTATTTATCATACAATCCATAGGTTATACAGGTTTAGAGTATGATGAGAGAAAACTGTTACGCAAAGTCTGATTCTATTCTATAGCGGGACATACAAAATAAAGTTACTAAAACTCTTTAATTCAATGGGCTTAAAAACATGGATTTGAGTAACGGGCTCTTTATTTCACCTTTATTTCACCTTTATTTCATCTTTATTTTAACAGGGAGTCATATTGAGACCCAGGTCTCTTCTTCTCTCTTGCAAAATAAGAGACCCCCCACAAGTAAATCCCATCCAGCCCTTATAGTTTTTCAATTCTTACATTTGAAATAGAAGGGATTGAGAGAGGGCTTGAGTTGAGGGATGTTGGTCGGCTTGGTGAGGGGGTATGAAGGATTAGTGAGGCTACCTTAGACAAAAGGCAGATGGATTTCTACAACTCTGGCTTATTCAAAATCATTGAAAAAAGGTCAGGGGGAGAGAGGCGTCTAACTATTGTTCCCAGCCAGCTACTTGTGAGGAAACAATGATCTCTCCCTAACCTTGGATAATACAATGCCTTTGAAAAGTTCACCACCATTTACAAAACCTTTCAGCAAACAGGCGTGCACACACACGCACACACACTTTTCAAGAGAGCAATTTAACAATTCAAGAGCGTATAAATTGGTAACACAATTTACACACAATTTACCACACATAATATCAATCAAATATATATATATAGACCTACTCTAGTGGAAGTTGTTTCCATTCTATTCAGTTCTTTGAATCTCAGTCTGGCAAACTGGCAAACATAGCTATAGCCTACAACTTTGATATTCACACTCATATTGTGATGCATGATGGTCCTCCAAATGAACGATTTGTACACACCATTAAAACAAGTAAATTCTCCAAATAAATGACAACATGAAGTGCCACTATTGCAGGCATAATAACTGTTCTATATTTCAATAAGGTCTTTTCACTTCTATATATCAGAATACCACATAATAAATAGACTAGACAAAAATAACCACCCAAAAATGTAATTTTTGAACAGTTTGGATTAAAATATAAAAGACTGTCTAGGCTACAGAAATATGCACTGAGTTGACCCCTGGCAACTGTGAGCCGTCAATCTTCGTAATGCGTAAACTCCAGGTAGGCTACACGCTGCACCGCGCATGAACTTCAGATTGCTATAGAAGAGTGGTCAAAATAGATCGAAAATGTGAGAGAAATAAATAACAAATACGAGTCTATTATTGAATTTATAGCTCAGGTTGTGG